AGTGGTTACTGGTTGATCTCCTCCCTTCAGCCCACTCCTAGTGGTTACTGGTTGAGTTCTCCTCCCTTCAGCCCCACTCCTAGTGGTTACTGGTTGAGTCTCCTCCTCCTTCAGCCCCACTCCTAGTGGTTACTGGTTGAGTCTCCTCCTCTTCAGCCCCACTCCTAGTGGTTACTGGTTGAGTCTCCTCCTCCCTTCAGCCCCACTCCTAGTGGTTACTGGTTGAGTCTCCTCCCTTCAGCCCCACTCCTAGTGGTTACTGGTTGAGTCCTCTTCAGCCCCACTCCTAGTGGTTACTGGTTGAGTCTCCTCTCTTCAGCCCCACTCCTAGTGGTTACTGGTTGAGTCTCCTCTCTTCAGCCCCACTCCTAGTGGTTACTGGTTGAGTCTCCTCCTCCCTTCAGCCCCACTCCTAGTGGTTACTGGTTGATCCTATTCCCTCCTGGTTCCAGGAGTTCTCCAACCCAGATGTTCAGAAACACCAAGGGACTTTAGGAAAGGTTCTGGAATTACCGCTTTCCAAACAATAGCAACCCTAACACAAGGCCTTGACGATTAGTTGAGTCAGGTGTCTTACTGCTGGGCTAGAACAAAAACGTGCACTCCCCAAGTGGGGGTCCTGAACAGCTGTTGGGTGGTGGGTGCGGGTATGTGCTTGCTGACAGTGGGCTAGTCTGTCACACTGTGGCACAGTGTTCTGCCCAGGCAAGGTTATGCAAGGGAGCAGTGAGACAACTGGCCAGGCCTCCAGGCTCAGACTGCAGGCGCACCACCTGAGGATGTCTGTCTGTCTCAGTAGACAATGAATACCCTGCTTCTGGACACAACACACAGGCTTCTATGGAGATTTCCTTTAGCTAAGAAAGGGACTTAATTACTTTTCAGACATTCAGGTTAACTAATGCTTGGTGTTCATAGTTATTCTCAATTCCTATTCAGGTGGACTAGTTCAACAGTATGATGACAGACATATTCAGGTGGACTAGTTCAACAGTATGATGACAGACTGACTTATTCAGGTGGACTAGTTCAACAGTATGATGACAGACATATTCAGGTGGACTAGTTCAACAGTATGATGACAGACTGACTTATTCAGGTGGACTAGTTCAACAGTATGATGAGACTGACTTATTCAGGTGGACTACCTGCCTGAAGACACTGATATGACTGGCTTTAGAACACACTGCTCTCTTCTACTAGCCTTTGTGTGTTTGCCTGCTACAATCTGCCAGCCAGAGCAAGGCCAGTTGCCTGCTACAATCTGCCAGCCAGAGCAAGGCCAGATAGTGAGGCACAGCCCTGGAATCTTGTGATTTTAGGGTGCAAGGTCATCTGGCCTTAAAGAGGTTCCCAATCTGCCAGGGACCCAAGGCTGTCTGCTAGCGCACCAAGGCCATTAACCAGAATAGACTATTTAAATTGATTTGAAAACTGATAAACATTAGCTTTTCTTTTAAGAAAAACATGTATGTAAATGTCCATAATTAATTAGCAGTATTAAAAAGTGTAGGTGGTAGCCTATTGGCTACAGTCTCATGTCCACAGGGCTTAGCTGGGACACGTGGTTGCTCTGTCTGAATGGGACATGGCCACAGGGCTTAGCTGGGACACGTGGTTGCTCTGTCTGAATGGGACATGGCCACAGGGCTTAGCTGGGACACGTGGTTGCTCTGTCTGAATGAGACAAGGTCACAGGGCGTGGTTGCTCTGTCTGAATGGGACAAGGCCACAGGGCGTGGTTGCTCTGTCTGAATGGGACATGGCCACAGGGCTTAGCTGGGACACGTGGTTGCTCTGTCTGAATGAGACAAGGTCACAGGGCGTGGTTGCTCTGTCTGAATGGGACATGGCCACAGGGCTTAGCTGGGACACGTGGTTGCTCTGTCTGAATGAGACAAGGTCACAGGGCGTGGTTGCTCTGTCTGAATGGGACATGGCCACAGGGCTTAGCTGGGACACGTGGTTGCTCTGTCTGAATGAGACAAGGTCACAGGGCGTGGTTGCTCTGTCTGAATGAGACAAGGTCACAGGGCGTGGTTGCTCTGTCTGAATGGGACATGGCCACAGGGCGTGGTTGCTCTGTCTGAATGGGACATGGCCACAGGGCTTAGCTGGGACACGTGGTTGCTCTGTCTGAATGAGACAAGGTCACAGGGCGTGGTTGCTCTGTCTGAATGGGACAAGGCCACAGGGCGTGGTTGCTCTGTCTGAATGGGACATGGCCACAGGGCTTAGCTGGGACACGTGGTTGCTCTGTCTGAATGAGACAAGGTCACAGGGCGTGGTTGCTCTGTCTGAATGGGACATGGCCACAGGGCTTAGCTGGGACACGTGGTTGCTCTGTCTGAATGAGACAAGGTCACAGGGCGTGGTTGCTCTGTCTGAATGGGACATGGCCACAGGGCTTAGCTGGGACACGTGGTTGCTCTGTCTGAATGAGACAAGGTCACAGGGCGTGGTTGCTCTGTCTGAATGAGACAAGGTCACAGGGCGTGGTTGCTCTGTCTGAATGGGACATGGCCACAGGGCGTGGTTGCTCTGTCTGAATGGGACATGGCCACAGGGCTTAGCTGGGACACGTGGTTGCTCTGTCTGAATGAGACAAGGTCACAGGGCGTGGTTGCTCTGTCTGAATGAGACAAGGTCACAGGGCGTGGTTGCTCTGTCTGAATGGGACAAGGCCACAGGGCGTGGTTGCTCTGTCTGAATGAGACAAGGTCACAGGGCGTGGTTGCTCTGTCTGAATGGGACATGGCCACAGGGCTTAGCTGGGACACGTGATTGCTCTGTCTGAATGAGACAAGGTCACAGGGCGTGGTTGCTCTGTCTGAATGAGACAAGGTCACAGGGCGTGGTTGCTCTGTCTGAATGGGACAAGGTCACAGGGCGTGGTTGCTCTGTCTGAATGAGACAAGGTCACAGGGCGTGGTTGCTCTGTCTGAATGGGACATGGCCACAGGGCTTAGCTGGGACACGTGGTTGCTCTGTCTGAATGAGACAAGGTCACAGGGCGTGGTTGCTCTGTCTGAATGGGACAAGGCCACAGGGCGTGGTTGCTCTGTCTGAATGAGACAAGGTCACAGGGCGTGGTTGCTCTGTCTGAATGGGACATGGCCACAGGGCTTAGCTGGGACACGTGGTTGCTCTGTCTGAATGAGACAAGGCCACAGGGCGTGGTTGCTCTGTCTGAATGGGACAAGGCCACAGGGCGTGGTTGCTCTGTCTGAATGGGACATGGCCACAGGGCGTGGTTGCTCTGTCTGAATGGGACAAGGCCACAGGGCGTGGTTGCTCTGTCTGAATGGGACAAGGCCACAGGGCGTGGTTGCTCTGTCTGAATGGGACATGGCCACAGGGCTTAGCTGGGACACGTGGTTGCTCTGTCTGAATGAGACAAGGTCACAGGGCGTGGTTGCTCTGTCTGAATGAGACAAGGCCACAGGGCGTGGTTGCTCTGTCTGAATGGGACATGGCCACAGGGCTTAGCTGGGACACGTGGTTGCTCTGTCTGAATGAGACAAGGTCACAGGGCGTGGTTGCTCTGTCTGAATGGGACAAGGCCACAGGGCGTGGTTGCTCTGTCTGAATGGGCAAGGCCACAGGGCTTAGCTGGGACACGTGGTTGCTCTGTCTGAATGAGACAAGGTCACAGGGCGTGGTTGCTCTGTCTGAATGGGACAAGGCCACAGGGCGTGGTTGCTCTGTCTGAATGGGACAAGGCCACAGGGCTTAGCTGGGACACGTGGTTGCTCTGTCTGAATGGGACAAGGCCACATAGCTTAGCTGGGACACGTGGTTGCTCTGTCTGAATGGGACAAGGCCACAGGGCTTAGCCTCACAATGGGTTGGTGTAACACTGCAGCAGGAGGTAAAGACCAGGCAGTGGTCCAGCTGGCGCCAGGGTCTCTGTTAGGAAAATTAGCGCTGGACATTTGACGGGCACCATTTTATCGGACATTTTTTAAAAGAACTTTACCGGACCCATATGAATGAGTTGCATAACCTGATTACGGCGTCCACCCACGGTTCTCAGAATGACAAATCGCAGTTTGTGGTAATTCGTCTTAACAGAACTTGCAACTCGAGGATTGCAACGCCGTGCGTCCTTCTTAGTGAATTCCGATTTGAAGATGTTAGAACAACAACGAGATGAGTAACGAACAGCGAAATCACCAGCTGTCAGTCTACTATCCCCCATAGTAGAAATGTTGACCTATTCTATTGGTCAGCTTGTGGAGAAAGAAACAGCCCAATCAGACTCTGGGACAGTTGTGTGACGATAGATCCCAAATTCATCCAACCAGTAGGCCTCGGATACATTAGTCTGATGTAACAGATCAGAACGTTTAGCTTAGAATGGTGATAAACTATTATTTATTCACATTATAAGCACAGCAATCCGCAGTAAGCTACGCGCAAATGTTCGTTCCATAATGCAATTAGCGGGAAAACACCGTTGAGCGGTTTCATGAGACAGAGATTAAAATATCCGTAAGACATTTTGAAAGAGGGGAGATCTAAAGATGCAACAACTAGCATGGGGTTTCTAATATGACTAGGATTGTGCCTTTGGCTACTGGACAATAAAAGAAAGTTGATTTGAAAACCAGTAGAACATGAGAGAAATAGGCTACTGGTTCCAACGGCATATGGAAGTCTTTCTAAAATAATTGCCTGCACGTTTGGTGGGATTTTGGCTAGGCTCCTTTTGAAGCAAGGTAAGACATGCCTCGTAATATGTAGTAAAACCTTCAGGTTTCAAACAGTGAACTATATGTTATCAAAATGCGTACTGCGTCCTTTGCAAAGTGGTGTATTGACGCGCTGAAGCCTGCCTACTTGTCTATGCACTTGAATGGGAAGCGCGCTTATATTACCAGTTGAGATAAAACCCTCTGCTCCTCACCTCCTCTCCTCTCCTGCCTCCCTCGTCCTCTCCTCCCCTGCCTCCCTCCTCCAGATAAGGACTGTACATTCTGTCTCTGGTCTCTCCCCAGTGTGGTTCAGCAGAGTACATGGCTCCAGAGGTAGTGGAGGCCTTCAGTGAGGAGGCTACGATCTATGATAAGCGCTGTGACCTGTGGAGCCTGGGGGTCATCCTGTACATCATGCTGAGTGGGTACCCTCCCTTCGTAGGGCGCTGTGGCACCAACTGTGGTTGGGACTGGGGAGAGCCCTGCCAGGAATGCCAGGTAAGATATGAGCTGACACAAACACATCAATAACATGCTAAAAAACATACACATGCCAATTGACTACTACAACACGCTACAACACTACTTCTACTACAGCAGCACTACTACAACACTACTACTACAATACACTACTACAACACTACTACTACAATACACTACTACAACACACTACTACAACTATAAACCACAACACACTACAAACACACTAATACTACAACACTACTACTACAGCAACAACACTACTACAACACCACTACTACAACACTACTACTACAATTACAACACTACTACAACACTACTACTACAATTACAACACTACTACAACACTACTACACGCTACAACAACACTACAACAACAGCACTACTACTACAACACTACAAAAACACTACTACTACAACACGCTACAACAGCACTACGACGCTACTACTACAACAACACCACTACTACAACAACAGCACACTCATCACTCCCATTGGGAAGCAGAGGCACAAATCAACATCTTGAGATCGCTTGGCCCTGAGAAAAAACCTTATTAGTGCTGGCCACTCCTGAGCCTGAGACCGGTTGGTTAGGACAGGGGTTAAAGATCAAAGGAGACTGCCTTTCTTGAAATGTTTAAACACATGGGAGCACAGTCTAGATGTCATTTTGGAGTCTTCCTTTAGAAGTCCTTATATGGAGTCTTCCTTTAGAAGTCCTTATATGGAGTCTTCCTTTAGAAGTCCTTATATGGAGTCATCCTTTAGAAGTCCTTATATGGAGTCTTCCTTTAGATGTCCTGTATATGGAGTCATCCTTTAGAAGTCCTTATATGGAGTCTTCCTTTAGATGTCCTTATATGGAGTCTTCCTTTAGAAGTCCTTATATGGAGTCTTCCTTTAGAAGTCCTTATATGGAGTCTTCCTTTAGAAGTCCTTATATGGAGTCTTCCTTTAGATGTCCTTATATGGAGTCTTCCTTTAGATGTCCTGTATATGGAGTCTTCCTTTAGAAGTCCTTATATGGAGTCTTCCTTTAGATGTCCTGTATATGGAGTCTTCCTTTAGATGTCCTGTATATGGAGTCTTCCTTTAGATGTCCTTATATGGAGTCTTCCTTTAGATGTCCTGTATATGGAGTCTTCCTTTAGATGTCCTGTATATGGAGTCTTCCTTTAGAAGTCCTTATATGGAGTCTTCCTTTAGATGTCCTGTATATGGAGTCTTCCTTTAGATGTCCTTATATGGAGTCTTCCTTTAGATGTCCTTATATGGAGTCTTCCTTTAGATGTCCTGTATATGGAGTCTTCCTTTAGATGTCCTTATATGGAGTCTTCCTTTAGATGTCCTGTATATGGAGTCTTCCTTTAGATGTCCTGTATATGGAGTCTTCCTTTAGATGTCCTGTATATGGAGTCTTCCTTTAGATGTCCTTATATGGAGTCTTCCTTTAGATGTCCTGTATATGGAGTCTTCCTTTAGATGTCCTTATATGGAGTCTTCCTTTAGATGTCCTTATATGGAGTCTTCCTTTAGAAGTCCTTATATGGAGTCTTCCTTTAGAAGTCCTTATATGGAGTCTTCCTTTAGAAGTCCTTATATGGAGTCTTCCTTTAGATGTCCTTATATGGAGTCTTCCTTTAGATGTCCTGTATATGGAGTCTTCCTTTAGATGTCCTGTATATGGAGTCTCTTTAGATGTCCTTATATGGAGTCTTCCTTTAGAAGTCCTTTATGGAGTCTTCCTTTAGAATGTCCTTATATGGAGTCTTCCTTTAGATGTCCTGTATATGGAGTCTTCCTTTAGATGTCCTGTATATGGAGTCTTCCTTTAGATGTCCTGTATATGGAGTCTTCCTTAGATTCCTGTATATGGAGTCTTCCTTTAGATGTCCTTATATGGAGTCTTCCTTTAGATGTCCTGTATATGGAGTCTTCCTTTAGATGTCCTGTATATGGAGTCTTCCCTTTTAGATGTCCTTATATGGAGTCTTCCTTTAGATGTCCTGTATATGAGTCTTCCTTTAGATGTCCTGTATATGGAGTCTTCCTTTAGAAGTCCTTATATGGAGTCTTCCTTTAGAAGTCCTTATATGGAGTCTTCCTTTAGATGTCCTTATATGGAGTCTTCCTTTAGATGTCCTGTATATGGAGTCTTCCTTTAGATGTCCTGTATATGGAGTCTTCCTTTAGATGTCCTGTATATGGAGTCTTCCTTTAGATGTCCTGTATATGGAGTCTTCCTTTAGATGTCCTGTATATGGAGTCTTCCTTTAGATGTCCTTATATGGAGTCTTCCTTTAGATGTCCTTATATGGAGTCTTCCTTTAGATGTCCTTATATGGAGTCTTCCTTTAGATGTCCTTATATGGAGTCTTCCTTTAGATGTCCTGTACAGTGCACTCGGAAAGTATTCAGACCCTTTGTCTTTTTCCACGTTTTGTTACGTTACAGCCTTATTCTAACATGGATTAAAACAATAATAATCCTCATCAATCTACAAACACTACCCCATAATGACCCAATACCCCATAATGACCCAATACCCCATAATGACCCAATACCGCATAATGACCCAATACCCCATAATGACCCAATACCCCACAATGACCCAATACCCCATAATGACCCAATACCCCATAATGACAAAGTGAAAACAGGTTTTTATGTATTACAAATAAAAATCAGAAATTCCTTATTTACATAAGTATTCAGACCCTTTGCTATGAGACTCGAAATTCAGCTCAGATTCATCCTGTTTCCATTGACCATCCTTGAGATGTTTCTACAACTTGATTGGAGTCCTCCTGTGGTAAATTCTATTGATTGGACATGATTTGGAAAGGCACACACCTGTTTATATAAGGTCTGATGAAACCAAGATTGAGCTCTTTGGCCTGAATGCCAAGCGTCACGTCTGGAGGAAACCTGGCACCATCCCTACGGTGAAGCATGGTGGTGGCAGCATCATGCTGTGGGAATGTTTTTCAGCGGCAGGAACTGGGAGACTAGTCAGGATCGAGGGAAAGATGAACGGAGCAAAGTACAGAGAGATCCTTGATGAAAACCTGCTCCAGAGCGCTCAGGACCTCAGACTGGGTCGAAGGTTCACCTTCCAACAGGACAACGACCCTATGCACACAGCCAAGACAACGCAGGAGTGGCTTTGGGACAAGTCTCTGAATGTCCTTGAGTGGCCCAGCCAGAGCCCAGACTTGAACCCGATTGAACATCTCTGGAGAGACCTGAAAATAGCTGTGCAGCGACGCTCCCCATCCAACCTGACAGAGCTTGAGAGGATCTGCAGAGAAGAATGGGAGAAACTCCCCAAATACAGGTGTGCCGAGCTTGTAGCGTCATAACCAAGAAGACTTGAGGCTGTAATCGCTGCCAAAGGTGCTTCAACAAAGTACTGAGTAAAGGCTCTGAATACTTACGTAAATGTGATAATTATGTTTTTTGTTGTAATAATTTAGCAAAAAATTTCTAAACCTGTTATTGCTTTGTCATTATTGGGTATTGTGTGTAGATTGATGAGGGGGGGGGGAAACTATTTAATCCATTTTAGAATAATGCTGTAACGTAACAAAATGTGGATGTCGTCAAGGGTACTTTCTGAATGCACTGTATATCTGAGCTCTGCTCCTGGACACGAGAGCATGTAGAACCCTGGTCCCTACCCTGGTCCCTACCCTGCTCCTTACCCTGCTCCCTACCCTGGTCCTTACCCTGGTCCTTACCCTGGTCCCTACCCTGCTCCCTACCCTGGTCCCTACCCTGGTCCTTACCCTGGTCCTTACCCTGGGCCCTACCCTGGTCCCTACCCTTGTGCTCAGAACCAGATGCCACTAAAGATGATGGAAACTGGAGAGGGACAATACTATTTTGATTTATAGATACACAATGCTACACATCAATATATAATTCAACTGAAATTATGTAACGAAAACTGAGTCTTAAATTCACATTCCTTTTCCTGTTTTTTGATTGTGAAAACCCCACAAAAACCTGCCCATTTTGTAATATTAAAGCCACTTTGGCCAAACCAAAACAACCAACACATTTGTTTTAAGAACCTTCTACAGTATGGCTTTTGTCACATCTCCAGAACATGCTGTTTGAGAGCGTCTTAAATCTAGAACTGTCCCCTAACCCAGTCTCTCTCTCGGCTGCGCTCCATTACGTTCTTAAATCTAGAACTGTCCCCTAACCCAGTCTCTCTCTCGGCTGCGCTCCAGAACATGCTGTTTGAGAGCATCCAGGAGGGGAAGTACGAGTTCCCTGAGAAGGACTGGCAGCAGATCTCCTCTGGAGCCAAAGACCTCATCACCAGACTTCTAGTCAGAGACGCCAAGAACCGCCTCAGTGCTGCTCAGGTCCTGCAGCACCCCTGGGTCAGAGGGGTACGGATCCTATCTGTTTCTCTACCTGTCGCTCTGTGTGTCGGTCGGTCTGTCGGTCTGTGTGTCTGTGTGTGTCGGTGTCGGTGTGTGTGTCGGTCTGTGTGTGTGTGTGTGTGTGTGTCGGTCTGTGTGTGTGTGTGTCGGTCTGTGTGTGTGTGTCGGTCTGTGTGTGTGTGTCGGTCTGTGTGTGTGTCGGTCTGTGTGTGTGTGTCGGTCTGTGTGTGTGTGTGTCGGTCTGTGTGTGTGGGTCTGTGTGTGTGTGTGGGTCTGTGTGTGTGTGTCATCTGTGTGTGTGTGGGTCTGTCTGTGTGTGTGTGTGTGTCGGTCGGTGTGTGTGTCGGTGTGTGTGTGTGTCGGTCTGTGTGTGTGTGTGTCGGTGTGTGTGTGTGTGTGTCGGTCTGTGTGTGTGTGTGTCGGTCTGTGTCTCTCGATCTCTGTTTTTCTCACTATCTATCTGGCTCAAATAAAATGTCACATGCTTGGTAAACAACTAACAGTGAAATGCTTAATTCCCAACAATACAGAGAGAGAAATCTAACAATAGAAAAATGAGGAATACATCCAAAGAGTAACTATATACCCGGGGTACCAGTACAGAGTCTATATACCCGGGGTACCAGTACAGAGTCTATATACCCGGGGGACCAGTACAGAGTCTATATACCCGGGGTACCAGTACAGAGTCTATATACCCGGGGTACCAGTACAGAGTCTATATACCCGGGGGACCAGTACAGAGTCTATATACCCGGGGTACCAGTACAGAGTCTATATACCCGGGGGTACCAGTACAGAGTCTATATACCCGGGGGACCAGTACAGAGTCTATATACCCGGGGTACCAGTACAGAGTCTATATACCCGGGGGACCAGTACAGAGTCTATATACCCGGGGTACCAGTACAGAGTCTATATACCCGGGGGACCAGTACAGAGTCTATATACCCGGGGTACCAGTACAGAGTCTATATACCCGGGGTACCAGTACAGAGTCTATATACCCGGGGGACCAGTACAGAGTCTATATACCCGGGGGACCAGTACAGAGTCTATATACCCGGGGGACCAGTACAGAGTCTATATACCCGGGGTACCAGTACAGAGTCTATATACCCGGGGGACCAGTACAGAGTCGATGTGCAGGGGGACGAGGTCATTGAGGTAGATATGTACATAAAGGTAGGGGTAAAGTGACTAGGCAATATGATAGATAATAAACCGTAACAGCAGCGTACGTGGTAAGTCAAAAGAGTTGGTGCAAAAGGGTCAATGCAGATAGTCCAGGTAGCTATTGGTCTTAAGGCTTGGAGGTAGAAGCTGTTCAGGGTCCTGTTGGTTCCAGACTTGGTGCATCGGTACCGCTTGCCGTGCTGTAGCAGAGAGAAGTCTATGACCTGGGTGGCTGGAGTCTTGGACAATTTTAAGGGCCTTTCTTTTCCCTGCCTGGTTTAGAGGTCCAGGATGGCAGGGAGCTCGGCCCCAGTAATGTACTGGGCCGTACGCACTACCCTCTGTAGCGCCTTGTGGTTGGATGCCAAGCAGGTGCCATACCAGGCGGTGATGCAGCCAGTTAAGATGCTTTCAACGGTGCAGCTGTAGAACCTTCTGAGGACATCCACTGACCACCTCCCTGTAGGCTGCGATCAGACAGGCCAACCACCGTCGTGTCGTCAGCAAATATAATGATGGTGTTTGAGTCTTGCGTGGCCACGCAGTCGTGGGTGAACAGGGAGTACAGGAAGTCCTGGGATCCAGTTGCAGAGGGAGGTGTTCAGTCCCAGGGTCCTAAGCTTAATGATGAGCTTGGAGGGGACTACGATGTTGAATGCTGAGCTGTAGTCAAGGAACAGCATTCTCACGTAGGTGTTCCTCTTGTCCATGTAGGAAAGGGCAGTGTGGAGCGCAATAGATCTGTGGAACTGTTGGGGCGGTATGCAAATTGGAGTGGTCTGGGATGATGGTGTTGATGTGAGCCATGACCAGCCTTTAAAAGCACTGCATGGCTATAGATGTGAGTGCTACGGGTCGGTAGTCATTTAGACAGGTTACCTTCGCTTTCCTAGGCACAGGGACTATGGTGGTCTGCTTGAGGGTATTACACACTGGGTCAGGGAGAGGTGAAAATGTCAGTGAAGACACTTGCCCAACTGGTCAGCACATGCTCGGAGTACGCGTCCTGGTAATCCGTCTGGTCCCGTGGCCTTGTGAATGTTGACCTGTTTAAAGGTTTTACTCACATCGGCTATGGAGAGCGAGATCACAGTCGTCCGAAACAGCTGGTGCTCTCATGCATGGTTCAGTGTTGCTTGCCTCGAAGCGAGCATATACTGAATTTAGCCCATCTGGTAGGCACTGGGCAGCTCCCGGCTGGGTTTCCCTTTGTAAGCCATGATAGTTTGCAAAGCCCTGCCACATCCATGGAGCTTCAGAGCCAGCGTAGTAGGATTTGATCTTAGTACTGTATTGATGCTTTGACTGTTTGATGGCTCTTGTTCTGTCTCGCTCTCTTTCTCTCTCACTTGTCTATCACACTCTGTCCCTCTCAATCTTTCTCTTGATCGCGCCATCTCTCCATCTCTCGGTTTAGCTCTGTTTTTGAACTGTAAGATGATTGAGCAACTTTGACCTCCAATGGAAGGGACAAAAGGAAGCTGCCTAGAATCCATGACCTAATCATTCCACGTCTGTCTCCTCTCCCTAAGTGTGCTCCCAACACCGTGCCCTCCATGCTGAACCACAGAGGCAGCAGAGCCCAGGACCTGACCTTCTTCGCCGGCCAGGCTGTGGCCGTCACCCGCCAGCTAGCTGAGCAGGACGAGAGCGACCGTCAGGAGAGAGAGGACCTCGACAAAGACGAGGTGTCTGAGGAGGAGGAGTCGCTGGGGTCCCTCTCTCTGTCCCCCTCGCCCCACCACATGGCTACCAGCACCACTGCCAGCTGCAGCCTCAGCCCCCGGAGCTCCCTGCGCCCCCTCTCCCCCTTGTCCTCTCGGCTGGCCCGGCGCAGGAGGAGAGGGCTCCCCCACACGGGGCCGGTGTGTGCCTCTGAGCTTCGGCAGCTCCTTGCCCCCCTGGTCATCATGGGGGACTGTGCCTGAAACCACTAATAACCGTTAAACTGACCGACCAACTGCAAACCCAACCTGATAATGCTCCTGAAAAATCAGTTCCACTCCTCCTCCCACCTCTCTTCCCCCTCCCCTCATCTTTTTCATCACTAAGCCACACCTGCAATACCTCAGTGGCGTGGATGATGATGATGATGATGTGGTCTTCGCAGCACATAAGCACATTGACCCTCTGCCTAATTCGAAGACTCTTCTACTCTTGGGGGAGGGGGGGGGGGGGGGTTGTTCGAATGTTGAGGAGCAATGACAGGGTTTATTATTTTTGGGGATGGGAGGGAGGGGAAAGGGATTTTGAAGGCACAAAAAAATAAACTAAGTTTGAAACAAGCTCCCACACCAAAGGACTAGCTACTGTTCCACATGCTGTATTCAGAGGAACTGGGTCGACCCACTCTGAATTGGAAACTTCATCAACCAGCTATCAGCCAGGTCCAACCAGCTTCATCAGATATACTAAAGACACCAGGATAGATATACTAGCTAGAGGGATTAATGAGTTAGCCAGCTAACTTTGATAAGCGGGATTAATGAGTTAGCCAGCTAACTTTGATAAGCGGGATTAATGAGTTAGCCAGCTAACTTTGATAAGCGGGATTAATGAGTTAGCCAGCTAACTTTGATAAGCAACCCAAAATAGACATTGATTTTATTGTTCATTTAAAAAAAGCTAAACTTGGATACGTTTTTTTGTTTGTTAAATCAATTTGACATGCAGTTTTTCAAGCTTATCTTTCTACAAAATAAAATGGATCACAATATGTAGGCGCGTTAGCTGGCTAACTCCTTTATCCTGCTTTGTAGGAGACCCCTCAGGACCTTCCCTCTGCTTCAGTCTACCTGCCCTGTGAAGGAGGGTGGGAGGGTCCACCTATCCAGCTAGCAGCAGTGTTGTAACGCACTAATTAAATCTCTGAGACCTGTCAGTTTCACTGAGTGGCTCACTCGAACCCTTCCTGCTTGTTGTAGTGGGAGCTCAGGTGGCCTGATAACCGGGCCCGGCCGCTAGGCTAGCTAACTCTTTATGAGGCCGCTAGGCTAGCTAACTCTTTATGAGGCCGCTAGGCTAGCTAACTCTTTATGAGAACCGCTAGGCTAGCTAACTCTTTATGAGAACCGCTAGGCTAGCTAACTCTTTATGAGGCCGCTAGGCTAGCTAACTCTTTATGAGGCCGCTAGGCTAGCTAACTCTTTATGAGGCCGCTAGGCTAGCTAACTCTTTATGAGGCCCCCAGGCTAGCTAACTCTTTATGAGGCCGCTAGGCTAGCTAACTCTTTATGAGGCCGCTAGGCTAGCTAACTCTTTATGAGGCCGCTAGGCTAGCTAACTCTTTATGAGGCCGCTAGGCTAGCTAACTCTTTATGAGGCCACTAGGCTAGCTAACTCTTTATGAGGCCGCTAGGCTAGCTAACTCTTTATGAGGCCGCTAGGCTAGCTAACTCTTTATGAGGCCGCTAGGCTAGCTAACTCTTTATGAGGCCCCCAGGCTAGCTAACTCTTTATGAGGCCGCTAGGCTAGCTAACTCTTTATGAGAACCGCTAGGCTAGCTAACTCTTTATGAGGCCGCTAGGCTAGCTAACTCTTTATGAGGCCCCCAGGCTAGCTAACTCTTTATGAGGCCGCTAGGCTAGCTAACTCTTTATGAGAACCGCTAGGCTAGCTAACTCTTTATGAGGCCGCTAGGCTAGCTAACTCTTTATGAGGCCCCCAGGCTAGCTAACTCTTTATGAGGCCGCTAGGCTAGCTAACTCTTTATGAGAACCGCTAGGCTAGCTAACTCTTTATGAGAACCGCTAGGCTAGCTAACTCTTTATGAGGCCGCTAGGCTAGCTAACTCTTTATGAGGCCGCTAGGCTAGCTAACTCTTTATGAGGCCGCTAGGCTAGCTAACTCTTTATGAGGCCGCTAGGCTAGCTAACTCTTTATGAGGCCGCTAGGCTAGCTAACTCTTTATGAGGCCGCTAGGCTAGCTAACTCTTTATGAGAACCGCTAGGCTAGCTAACTCTTTATGAGGCCGCTAGGCTAGCTAACTCTTTATGAGGCCGCTAGGCTAGCTAACTCTTTATGAGAACCGCTAGGCTAGCTAACTCTTTATGAGAACCGCTAGGCTAGCTAACTCTTTATGAGGCCCCCAGGCTAGCTAACTCTTTATGAGGCCGCTAGGCTAGCTAACTCTTTATGAGGCCGCTAGGCTAGCTAACTCTTTATGAGGCCGCTAGGCTAGCTAACTCTTTATGAGAACCGCTAGGCTAGCTAACTCTTTATGAGAACCGCTAGGCTAGCTAACTCTGACTATCTAGTACCTCCTCATTGCTGGGACTTTACACACAAACACAAAGTCCAAACAATATCTCACCTGTTATCATTATTTCTGCCCCTTGAAGCACTGCTGCTGTGGTGGTAATATAGATCCATTATCTGAGATCTGAGCCGTTCTAATTAACATGTTGTGCTCACTGACTGGCTGTATCACAAGTGGCATATAGGGAATAGGGTTCCATTTGACGCAGTCATTAACTGCAGTAAGAAGACATGGACCCTGCCACACTACCCTGAGCTCATAGTGCTGGTTTCCTCAGACAAGTTAAGCTTAGCCTAGACTAAAAATCACTTTAAATGGAGAATCGTTTTAACATGCTTCTTAGTCCAGGACTAGGCTTAATTAATCTGTGTCTGGGAAACCAGCCTTACATTGGTCTGGACCCAAGAGAGTCCCAGCAACAAAGGTACTTAAAACTTGAACACAAACTGTTTTCAAACGGATACCTCAGGACCTTGAAATATATAGCGAGAGCTGGGGGGGACCTCACCAGGTATCATCCAGGTATCTATAGAACTGTTATCGACTCACCAGTTATGTCAGGTATCAATAGAACTGTTATCGACTCACCAGTTATCAGCCAGGTATCAATAGAACTGTTATCGACTCACCAGGTATCAGTCAGGTATCAATAGAACTGTTATCGACTCACCAGGTATCAGCCAGGTATCAATAGAACTGTTATCGACTCACCAGGTATCAGCCAGGTATCAATAGAACTGTTATCGACTCACCAGGTATCAGCCAGGTATCAATAGAACTGTTATCGACTCACCAGGTATCAGCCAGGTATCAATAGAACTGTTATTGACTGACCAGGTATCAGCCAGGTATCAATAGAACTGGTAATGATTCACCAGGTATCAAGAGAAGTCAAAGGGAGATTTGAGGAGAGAGATCCTCAGACTCCTTAACTTTCCCTTTAAATCTCAATTTCTGAGTTTCAGTTTATTTATTTTTATTTTATTTTAAATCACACGATCAAAAGATGCCATCTACATTCTAAGATCATTATTAAGAAGTTTTAAAGGCCTTGGTAACACTTGACAATGGTCATAAATCTGTCATGTTGATGACAACTGATTTAATGAATAGTCATGGCCTTGGTTGTCCAGATGACTGCCTTTTCAGTGTCTTCAGACGAGCCTCCATGATGGCTAGCTAGCTGGTGGTATTTCAACCCGACGGGGTGTAATCCAAGAAGACCAAATGAACCACTTGTAGAAGGAATGCCCAGGGCCAAGTGTGTTTTAGTCCCACATTAGGGCTAGTTCTGTGGCTGTAACCAGCTGCCCAGATCAGATCATCCTAGTTCTGTGGCTGTAACCAGCTGCCCAGATCAGATCATCCTAGTTCTGTGGCTGTAACCAGCTGCCCAGATCAGATCATCCTAGTTCTGTGGCTATAACCAGCTGCCCAGATCAGATCATCCTAGTTCTGTGGCTGTAACCAGCTGCCCAGATCAGATCATCCTAGTTCTGTGGCTATAACCAGCTGCCCAGATCAGATCATCCTAGTTCTGTGGCTGTAACCAGCTGCCCAGATCAGATCATCCTAGTTCTGTGGCTGTAACCAGCTGCCCAGATCAGATCATCCTAGTTCTGTGGCTATAACCAGCTGCCCAGATCAGATCATCCTAGTTCTGTGGCTATAACCAGCTGCCCAGATCAGATCATCCTAGTTCTGTGGCTATAACCAGCTGCCCAGATCAGATCATCCTAGTTCTGTGGCTATAACCAGCTGCCCAGATCAGATCATCCTAGCTCTGTGGCTGTAACCAGCTGCCCAGATCAGATCATCCTAGTTCTGTGGCTATAACCAGCTGCCCAGATCAGATCATCCCAGTTCTGTGGCTGTAACCAGCTGCCCAGATCAGATCATCCTAGTTCTGTGGCTGTAACCAGCGGCCCAGATCAGATCATCCTAGTTCTGTGGCTATAACCAGCTGCCCAGATCAGATCATCCTAGTTCTGTGGCTATAACCAGCGGCCCAGATCAGATCATCCCAGTTCTGTGGCTATAACCAGCTGCCCAGATCAGATCATCCTAGTTCTGTGGCTGTAACCAGCTGCCCAGATCAGCCTAGCTCTGCTCGACTCATGTTGCTATAAAATAAGGATTACTGTCGCATGACCTAAAGCAACAACAACATGTTATTTGAAGTTCTCAACAGTCTTTCTCAAAGTCTAAATGGAAACAATTGAGTGATTTTGGGGCAGATTAGGGAAAGCATTCCAAACAACAGATCTTAAAGGATAGGAAGAGGATGCGAATGATAAACCCAGATGTTTTATTTCAGGGGGGTTAACTCCCAAGAACTCCTAGGCTTGTATCCCAAATGGTACCTTATTCCCTATGCAGTACACTACTTTTGACCAGGACCCATAGGGCTCTATGTGCACTATCCAGAAAATAGGGTGCCATTTGACCAGGACCCATAGGGCTCTATGTGCACTATCCAGAAAATAGGGTGCCATTTGGGATGCATATTTACTATACCGTGCCAGGGCTGCTGTTCTTCAGGCTGTTAAGCTTCTGTTTTTATTTGTTTTACTGTGGTTTTAAAGTTTCAACATTGTTGGCGGGAATAGACAGTGGTTCTGTTTCCCTGTTCAGAGGATAGTTATTGAACTCGTTCAGAGGATCGTTATTGAACTCTGTGGTTGAGGGAACAGTATGTTGTTGAGGGAAAGGAGGAGGTGGGAGAGCGAGAGGAGATGAATGTGGTTATTTAACTGTGCCTGTATCTTGTTCAGATCGAAACACAAGCCGTTATTGTTTTTCGTTGTGCTGGTAACGTCGTTGAACAATTGTGTGTCGCAGAAATCTAGACTAGTGCCATCTTAAGCCAAATCCATCCGTTAGTTTAGACTTTTGTTTTAGT